GTTGTCCATCTGGGGACATAGCCAGGGTTTTACGGCATTTACAACACAAATAGGTCGTTACATGAGAGACTCATACATAGGGGGTAGTTGTCCATCTGGGGACATAGCCAGGGTTTTACGGCATTTACAACACAAATAGGTCGTTACATGAGAGACTCATACATAGGGGGTAGTTGTCCATCTGGGGACATAGCCAGGGTTTTACGGCATTTACAACACGAATAGGTCGTTACATGAGAGACTCATACACAGGGGGTAGTTGTCCATCTGGGGACATAGCCAGGGTTTTTAGTCTTAGTAAGTGTTTTACGGCACTTGCAACATAATACGGTCATATAAATGCCGAAGATTAGAGGTGTTACAAGAGAGTAACAAACACAAAAAAAGGAGGAGAGATCAGGACGATAGATGCTTGACAGGAAAGAAGGAGCAAACCACAGCAGAGCACCCGCCAACCACCCACCACCAGTCCCTGCACACACCCACCTTGAGCGTGGTGAAGATCTTCCCGGCCGTGCGGTCAAACACCACGATGGACTTGTCCTCGCTGCCGGACACAATGAACTGCCCGTTGCCCACCACACTCAGCACCGGCTTGGTGTGGAAGATTCTCATCTTGAGCGCGGACGAGCGCCGGTCAAAGAACGCCACCTCCTTGAAGCAACTGGCCACCACTTCCTTCTCCTCCGCGTACAGACACAGGACGGCCGACTTGCACCTGGCCACCACAAAGTTGAAGAATAATAATAATAGATTGCATTTTTACAGCGCTCTATCCCATACTAGGATAAGCTGTGGCTCTGAGCACTTTCCACCAATCACATGATCTCCCCACTCCGTCATTGACACAAGAGAAAATAGTTGACAGAAACAAGAACAATCAGTCCGACCACATAGAGAAGAACTTTCCCAACCACACAGTAACTGTACACAAAGGAAGGTGAAAATACCAAAAATTTCCACATCAACAACAGACACGTGGACTTGTTGGTCATCGTCTTAAAGCTTCTTCATTTGTCTGGTTTTGGATGATGAAATAAAATACCATCTATCTTGACTAGAAGTCAAACCATGTGACTGAGGGAGGTGGGGGTGGCCTGGTGTCAGACTGACAATTTGCGAGAAAGAGGCTGCCAAAGCTTGAGTGTCCGTGTATACTGAAAATTTACTCTTTTTTGAGCCTATAACGAATATTTTGGAGAAAAATCTAAGCAGAAATGTCTTTATAAAAGGACAAAGAAGGTGTGAATGTTTTTGATACATTTGTTCCCAGCTTCGTTCAATAAGGAGGGGGAAAGAAGTGAGTGGGCTTCTGTCGTTCAGAAGTGTGTGGTAGGTGCACGTCTTACTTGAAGCTTTGAGCTTGTGCGCAGCCGGCCGCCAAATCAAACATGCGCACGTGCGTGTCCCACGATCCCGTGATGAGCGTGTCTCCCACCGAGGCCATGCTCCAGATCCAGCCCTGAGAGACCAGCGAGACGGGAGAGAGAGTGTTTAAGTAAGTGTCTTACGGCACTTGCAACACAATAATAAGGTCATAGAAGTGCCCAAGATTAGACGGTACAAAATAATAACAAACAGAAAAAAGAAAGAGGGGAGATAAATGTGATTGCGATAAATGTTTGATAGGAAAGAAGAAGCAAACCACACCAGAGCACCAGCCAACCTCCCACTGAGAGAGTGTTTCGGGTGTGTCGTGTGGGAGGACAGACAGACGGGTGGACGGATGGACGGATGGACGGACGGACGGACGGACGGACAGACAGACAGACAGACAGACAGACAGACAGACAAGAAACAAGAGAAGCCTGAGGCTACCCCCAAAGACTTCCTGATGGAAACAGCACACAAAGCCAGACAATGTAGTACAAATTTTACAGCACACAAAGCCCGACAATGTAGTACAAATTTTACAACACACAAAGCCAGACAATGTAGTACAAGTTTTACAACACACAAAGCCAGACAATGTAGTACAAGTTTTACAGCACACAAAGCCAGACAATGTA